TCCTAGTTGCTCCTTTATGTGTTCAGCACTTTCATACTTCCCAATAACCAAGGACCTGAACAGCTCACTATCATCCACAACCAAAGCGGTAGCAGAAAAAGCAAGTATGGCCACCGAAATATTATAACCACCATCATCCACGTGTACCCTTACCGGTAAAACTTTATGTGGTATCATAATTAACACACAATCCCATTTCCCACACACTATCCAGCTTTTTCCAGGTATTTTCACCTTCATCCTCCTTGGCATCGTCGCTAGGTAACCTCATTGCTACGTACCATTTGTACCACGGAACGTCCCGAAGCAACACAATTTTCTGGTACTGCAATCAAACGGCCCCAGGTTCAGTTATGTAGCTAGCATCATGATGGCAACCGCGCGAATTGGTAGCCAAGGAAAATGGTTAGGATAATAATAGGTAAAATAATGCGTGTGTTTATGAATAAGTACGATAAAGCAACCTTGGTATTAAAGTCGTTTACCCTAAACATGTTATTAAGTCCCAGTGGTTTCCAAAGCGAGCAGTTGTAACCAAGTAACGACCTATCAGGGAAGTACTAGATGGCGAAACATCTTGGAGCTCTACCGGTCATAATATGACGGAAAATTTACTTCAATGTATAACTAAATATGTATATTAGGCTTGCATTGCCTTCTACACTGTAATAGCTGGTTTGTACTGATTTTGCTTGCCAAAACGATTGCCGCAATTGGAAAATTTGGGAAAATATATGATTAATGAATTTATGCCAAAATATGACACGAAACCGGTGGAATATTGAATGTGAGCGGCGAAGAACACCGAAGAACCATAAGAATTTGAAATATGCATTTAATTAGTGTAACGTGTAAAACACGCAACCATGCAAAGCAGATAAGATAATAATTAGCTTGAACTAGCCGCTGGAAATGCGTAAGGAATCAAAGAAATGCAAAAGAAGTAAAGCATTGTCTATTGCTATACAGTAGTTGTGAGTTCGTGGTCGCAAATGCCTCTGAGGTTAATGTTATGCCGGCGTGTCTGTAAGCATATTGTAGCAGCCTGGAGATTCCCCGATTTGCCTGTGTAATTTCTAACCAAAATTCTATAATTGTACACCTAGGCAACCGGTGTGGTTTGTTGAACTGCTTGCTGAGTTCGAATGCTTTACATGCCATTCGTCATTTTTGCATGGCGTTCGTTTCGGTTGCAACGCGCAACTGCCCTGTGTGCTGTGCTTGATCCGTTCCCCTAGCTAGAGCATCCACGGTGTCGTTCTTTTATAGCTAGATAACAGGGAATCTTTTACTGTACCAATTAACTTTTCCCTGCAACTCGATCTGTCTTCTTGAATCGCTCTCTGGGCTCGCGGTACAGGCGACCCTCTAAACTGGTGACCCCGAATCCGGATCAACCTCCACGCCGGATATTTGGACCTTTTCTCTGGTGAGCTCGTTCCATTTATTTTTCATATTTTCCGGTTTTATTTTTTCATACGGTAGCCTATTTTTTACGTCATTTTTTCAAGCCATGGAATCTATAGTCCATAAGGTAGAGTCTCTACTTAGTGTTGTATCTCTCTCAGTTCCACCTTTTTGGGATATGGATCCTTTTTTGTGGTTCGCTCATCTTGAGGCTGAGTTTTACAACCACAGAATCACTTCTGACTACGCGAAGTATTGCAAGCTGCTGTCCTACCTCCCCAAGGAGATATCAATGCAGGTTTGTGACGTCATCATTTATCAGACCGATAACCGCTATGAGGCTCTTAAGAAGGCCACGATTAAGCGTGTTATGTCCTCTGAGAAAGTTCGCCTGCAACAGCTTTTCAGGAATCTGCAGCTAGGCGACAAACTGCCCTCAACCCTCCTACGAGAGATGCAGCAACTCCTTGGTTCTTCAACCATGGACGAGACTTTACTTCGCGAACTATGGCTACAACGGCTACCGGAAAACACGCAAGCGATTCTCGCTACAGTGAGCTCCGTTTCGCTCAATCAACTGGCGGATTTAGCGGATCGAGTTATTGAACGATCACAGCCACAACCCGACGTCAGTAAGATCAATGCCGTCGCGTCCCAGGGCACTTTTATCACGGGCTTACAGTCAACTATAGAAGCCCTCCAAACACAAGTTGCGACACTTAGTCGCCAGGTGCAACAGCTTACTATGAACCCTCGTCGTCATAGCCGATCAAAATCACCCTGCAAACGTTCTAAGTCTAGAAACAGGCAGGCTGGCTGTTGGTACCACCAGCGTTTTGGTACCGCAGCTCGTAAATGTGTCAACTCCTTGCAACTTCGCCGAGCAGCAGGGAAAACTTTGCGGCCGGTCGGTAAGGGCGGCGGACGCGACCGGCCCACACCAAAGTCGCCTCATCCGTGTTAGGGATTTAACTTCCGGCACCGAGTTTTTAGTCGACACTGGTGCCGAAGTTAGCGTTATACCCCGTAGCTCAGATGAGGTCGTCTCACCATCGCCGACCAAGCTGCGTGCCGCCAATGGCACACCAATCGCAACTTTCGGCGAAAAGCTGCTAACGCTCAACTTAGGCCTCCGGCGAACCTTTCGCTGACCTTTCATAATCGCTGCTGTGCCTCTCGCCATCCTAGGCATAGACTTTCTGCAACGCTTCGACGTCATCGTCGACGCTAAAAGGAAGAAGCTTACCGACTCTAGGACACAGCTCAGTGTTATCGGGACCAGCGCCAACGTGGCTGCTATCACTCCCATTCGTGTCCCACGTCAAGCTTCACAGCCTTTTATAGAAATTTTCAACAAGCATCCTAACCTCGTTCGCATCCTGAACGATTTGCCTCCTGTGACGTCAAACGACATGCATTACATTTGCACTGAGGGCCCACCTGTTTCGGCCCGCCCTCGCCGAGTAGCCCCGGACAAGCTCAAAGCTGCTAAGGCGGAATTCGAGCAAATGCTCGAACTGGGAATCATCCGCCCGTCCAAAAGTCCATGGGCATCACCATTACACATGGTGCCTAAGAAATCCGGTGACTGGCGACCCTGTGGTGACTACAGGGCACTTAACAAAGTTACCGTCCCGGATAAATACCCTATTCTGCACATGCACGACTTGATCTCAGCTCTAGCTGGCAAGTCTATCTTTAGCAAAGTCGACCTAGTTCGCGCCTATCATCAGATACCTGTCGCGCCGGATGACATTGCTAAAACGCCATTCGGCCTATTCGAGTACCTCAGAATGCCTTTCGGCCTCAGCAACGCTGCCCAAACTTTTCAGCGTTTCATTCATGAGGTAACGCGAGGACTCGAAGGCGTTTATCCTTAGCTAGATGACATTCTTATCGCGAGCACTTTTGATGAAGAACATCTTCATCAACTCGACGCTCTCTTCCAACGCTTAACCCAGCATGGGGTTACCGTCAACCCCGATAAATGCGAGCTTGGCCAACGTTCCATCGAGTTCATTGGCCACCGCATATCCGCCTCTGGTATTGAAGCTCTGCCAGACAAAATCCAGGCACTGAAGGACTACCCTGCCCCCAGTTCCTTCAAGAAGTTATGCCGATTTCTTGGCCTGGTTAACTATTATAGACGTTTTATTCCTAACTGCGCGAGCATTGTTCAACCAATGACTGACTTGCTCCGCGGTAAGCAACGCTCTTTTCACTTTACAGACGACGCTAAATTGTCCTCCGAGAAGCTCAAAGACGCTATCTCTAACATAGCGCTTCTCGCCCATCCAGACACATCAGCACCACTCTCCCTGACGACTGACGCCTCTGACACTGCCGTCGGTGCAGTTCTTCAACAACACATCGACCATTGATGGATACCTCTAGGTTTCTTCTCAAAACGCTTACAACCCGCCGAATCGCGTTACAGCACCTTCGGTAGGGAACTGTTAGCCATCTACCTAGGTATCAAACATTTTCGTCACTACCTCGAAGGTCGACATTTTACAGTCTTCACTGACCATAAGCCATTGATCTACGCAATCAATGGCGCAACGGACAAGTATTCTTCGCGGGATACTAGACACCTAGACTACGTTTCTCAGTTTACGACAGACGTACGTCATGTCTCAGGTGCTTTCAATCCCGTCGCGGATGCGCTTTCACGCATCCAACAGATCAGCTTATCGCCTAGCACCAACATTGATCTGTCCGCTATGGCTGCTGCCCAACAAGCTGATCCCGACATACGCAAGCTACGACGCAACATCACTGAGACGATCACCATTGATCGACTCCAGGCAGCATTCTTCGACAAGTCTGACTCTTCGGTGCAGCAAGGACCTTCACAGCCTGTGCCATCACAGCCGGCACCGCAGACGCAGACGAGTCAGCCCGCTCCAGCAGAACCGACAAACACAACCGACAGCACTCCTACCCGCCCTTCTCTCAATCGACGCGGTAGGAAACTCAAGCCTCCAGTTCGTTTTTCAGACTTTGTCAGCACTTAATATTTTACGTAGAACGTGCCTTTGAAAATTTCTGCTCTTATCAAACGTTTTTAAAAATCCGCAAAGAAAAGCTCAAAACGTTTTGAAACTGCCAAAAAAGAGCAAAACCTTTTGAAAACCCGAAAACAGCTTTGCATGTTTTTCGCTTTACACTCTTTTGTGTATGGCTATGCATTTATGCTGCTTTGTCATTTTGCTTTCCATATACACCGTCGGTTGGTTGCCCCTCGGTTGCACTTCTCGCTGGATTTCCGCACGTCAACTGCCAGTGGAACGAACTTCCTGTTCAACCGCCTACGTGAACTTTACTTACTGTCCCCCACAAACAGTTTTTTTACCGTTTCGACATCGTAGGGAGGACACGGGTGGGAGCCCGCTAGGGTCCGATTGCATGGTTCTCCCCCAGCAGCTGCATCGGGTTTCACAACCTGGTCTCGCAAAAGGATGGCCCGCGACGGACAGTCCTCACGTAGATCGAAGGTCTGCTTACACAGTCCCTTCTGAGAGAGGGCTATGTAGCAGCCTGGAGATTCCCCGGTTTGCCTGTGTAAAATTCTAACCAAAATTCTATATTCCGTCGGTTCTCCTCTATTCGCATGGCTTGTCGACTTTTGCACACTGTATGTACGCCCATATTGTTCTACCCTGCGGTGAGAGCCAAGGCAGTGCAAGCTACCCGGCTAGAGAGTATCACACTTAGACGAGTGGCCGAAGCGTGTTATGCGGCCCAACAAGGCGGTCTGCGCCGTGACAGTCGTCCGGATTCGGATTATGAGGCATCGCACCAGCAGCAGCATGTGGATGATGATGACCGGACTCTACGCGCTTGCGCTTTGCGAGCGGTTATCCGCACTGCCCAAACAGAAGCGCCGATTTTACCGTGCGATCACAGTTCCACAACCATGAGTTCCATCACCGGCGCCCGTACGCTGGCTGACACGCTCTCCCATACCAAGGTACAGACTGACCTACCAATATCAGGACATACCCAATCACCTTTGTCACCTTGGCTCAGCTGGTCGCGCAACGTTTTGCTCGACGCTGCAGAAGAACCAACCGACTCTTGCAAAGAAGTCCCTAACTGTAATATTGCTGGGGAAATTGTCACGTCGGGGTCACCAATTTAGAGGGTCGCCTGTACCGCGAGCCCAGAGAGCGATTCAAGAAGACAGATCGAGTTGCAGGGAAAAGTTAATTGGTACAGTAAAAGATTCCCTGTTATCTAGCTATAAAAGAACGACACCGTGGATGCTCTAGCTAGGGGAACGGATCAAGCACAGCACACAGGGCAGTTGCGCGTTGCAACCGAAACGAACGCCATGCAAAAATGACGAATGGCATGTAAAGCATTCGAACTCAGCAAGCAGTTCAACAAACCACACCGGTTGCCTAGGTGTACAATTATAGAATTTTGGTTAGAAATTACACAGGCAAATCGGGGAATCTCCAGACTGCTACACTATCACCTCATAGTAATGATAATGGAATAATAAATAGAACAAGCCTATTGTGTAATGCAAATAACTGAGGAGCGGATGACGGATGCATACAGTAAAATATATAAAAGATACTAAATGCAATATGCATATATTTGCCTTTAGATGCCATCAAATATATATAGGCTTAAATGAATGGGCAAGCTTGTAACGATATTACATAAATGCTGGTGTTTATGGAGGACGTTTTCAAAAAATATACATATATGTATACGGATTGAAGAACAATTGCCGGTATACTGATGTTTGTACAGTTAAAAAATAATAGGGTATGCTACTAGTTATCCGTAGAGCTGTTGTAGAAAACCGCGACCCGAGAATAGCACGTTAGTTAAAGGTTTGTTTCATCTTACATAAAAGGATCTTGATACGCTTCAGTGACTGACGACGGTAAAACCGTAAGCTACGCAGCATTAGCAGCATGTACATTTCGGCGATGAATCAGGTAGGAGGCAGACAGAGAAAAAGCACAAAAGCAAAATGGCGGCAAGCAAGGAAGAACCACGAAAATTAGAACTGGAACTAGTCGTATATAAGGTTAACTAAATCGAAACTGTACGTGAAGTGAAGCGCCAGATGGAAGCATAAACATAAAATAAGCAAATGTTTTACAAGCGCTACGGTGCTCCCCAAAGAGCGTTAACTGAGAAGAAACGTTCGGCAAGGAAACGCTGGAACGTGCTGAGCAAGCTTGGCTGGAAGAAGAAACCCTACCAGAACGGGTGTGTGTAGACCTGCCCGTGGTCGTAGGGCACAGCGTCTAGGATTTGTGGGCGTAAGTAGGATGTTGGATTAGGGATAATGAAACAGGTACAGGAGTTTTCTCTGGTGATGTTTCAGGGTCGGTTGTATCAACAGCCGGTTCGAGGTAGGAAGATTTGATGTGACCGATCCTTACGGAAACTTTAGCTACATCCTTCTCTAAAACAAAATCCTTCTGTTTTCAAGATAAGCACTAATGTAGGCCTAGATAGAGCGGAGTCAAAGGTCTTCGGACGGCGTCAAAGCGGATGAAGTCAACCGGACAATTGTGCAACTTGGAATAACTGTGCTGTTTACCTACGTTAACGTTGATAGAAGTCCGTCGAATTGATCGAAAATTTTGCTTGAAACGTTCGGCCTACGACATGGGGTTTAGTTCTTCTGTGATGCGATGGTCAGGTACCATTTTACCAGGCGGTCTAAGGTTCGTACCGATCACACACTCTGCAGGGCCGTAGACGATGTCTTTTTTGATGTCACTTTGAATTCTAAAGTGGATGGCAGCAAGGTGCTCTGACTAAATTTACTCGGGTAAACTGGTCAAACCAGCGGCAAGTAGTTGTCGATGAGGTTGCATAACAAAGCCATTGGCAGCAAGATTGTGCGCGGTCGTTTGCATGTTAGGTAAGTTTATCAAACGACTCAAAACAAGAAACAATGTGGTACTATACTGAACAACTCTGTCGGTAGTGATGGAGGCTAAAAGGCCAAACGGAAAAATCCAGGCTTTAACAAATAGGCTTGCAACAGCTTCAGTGGACATATCACATGGAGGAACAGCTTGTGGCCAACGGGCAAAACGGTCGACACACGTCAAAAGAGAAGCAAAACCACTAGAGGTAGGCAATGGTCTTACTTCGTGCATGCGAAGGTTTTTGGACCTTGCGTTAGGGAGAGAAAAGCCACTGGATGGTGACAATGAAGCAAAGAAATTTGCCAGCCTAGCATTTAAGACAATGTTTAGCACGTCGTCGTATGTCCGTATGCATATCGTGCTACACGAATCGGTAAGTAATCTGCTTTATAGTACATCGAATGTCTGTGTGTGATGTTCACTAAAAAGGCTCAGACATGGCTCGTGGAACTGACTGTGAGAAAAAAGTCCAAGCTTACTAGTTGAAATGTCACCATAACAGTTGTGTCGCAGTTAAGCACAGGTTGGTGCACGATTTTCAATGAATCGGTTGGTCGAAATTGGCTGAGCTCCTGCACGTTGGCTTGTGCGGCCGCTATTCTCCCCACGTCGATGGGTGTCGGTGACAATTGCGTTAGTTGAGTAGGTGACAACGCCGCAGCAACAGTGTTGTTGAGGCCATCGATGTAACGAACCTCTACACAGAACCGTGTGTGGTAGGTTGGACGACACTTTTCTCAGAGCGAATAACGGAACGATAGAGGTAGAAAAGCTACAACAAATGTTGGGGATTTGACAGGAGAAAGTAACGGCGTCCTACATGAAGCTGGCTTAGCTGTTTCACAGCCAAGCAACAGGCGAAAACTCATAACAAAATGTGCTTTACCTGAAGTGAACAGGTGGTAGACAACAAAACGAAAAAGGAAAAAGATTAAATTTATTAACATTTAACCGTTACAGGACCTCAATGAAAGTGTATCTGGAAGCAGGTGTCTTTAGCAAAGTGTAACTTCTCTGCTGGTGTTGCTGATCCTGTGATATGCTCTCGCTAAATTTATGCTTGACAGTAGTGAGTGCGGCTTCAAATTCTGGGGTTACTTTGAAGGATGTTGCTTTTTCTTTGGCAAATTGATGAGCAGATTAAGCACAGTTGGGTATGAATCCGCTATAGTATTTGACTATACCGAGGAATTGGCGTAGGCTTTTGACAGATTGGATCATGTGGTAGGATGGCATCGCTTGGGTGCTTTCTGGAAAAGGTATGATGCCATCAGCATCCATGCTTGACCGAGAAACTGCGATGAACTGACTAAATGCGTGTTTGCCCGGTTGGCGAATTTTCCGTGTTGTGTTCAAAACGTACAAGCCCAATCGGGATATGCTAAGTGTTCTTTTGGATCAGCGCTTGTTATAATAACATTTTCGTAAAAGCGCACGAAATCGAGACCACGGAGGACTTAATCCATAAAGTGTTAAAAAGAGTGTGCTACGTTACGAAGACCAAATGGCATAAAAGATAAGTTAGTATAGGCCAAACAAATTAAGCATATCAGTTTCATAGATATATTTCTCCGCCACAGCAACTTGATGATAGGCTCTGACGAGGTGAACTTTGGAGAATACTGCATTTCCGGATGGTTCCATAGGAAAGTCGTGGAACTATGGTATAGGGTACATATACAAAGCATTGACGTCGTTAAAGCTGCGGTAATCACCGTATTGCCGCCAAGTACTGAATTTTGCAAAAACCCGATTGTGCGGTAATGCCCAACTGTTGTATGAAAAGTGCTCGATGCTGTGAGCAAGCTTGTTCGAAGTGCTTTTCAGCTGTTTTAACTTGGTCTGGGCGTAACCGCCTGGGCATAGTAGCTGCTGGCACACCGGTTGTAACGTGATAGTGGTGCACTTCCTGTTTAACTTTTGTTGTGTCGTTACTTGCTTGAAGTATGAACGAAAGCTGGCGTAGCAGCGATGTGTACTGAACACAATCGAGTATGCGCATGCGGAACCTGAGGGAATTTTTATAGCTAGTTTGAAAAGTATACTTTAAGGCATGGTATTTTCTTGTACTTTCCCGCAACCCAGTTCCATAACCAGCCTGAACTTGCTAACGAACTCTATTCCAATGATCGGCTTTTGAACATCAACGACGGAAATTTACGTCGTAGTCCTAGGATAAAGATAAGTAGATGCTGACCAAGGGTTGCGACCTTAGTATGTTTGGCTGCCTGTAGCATTGTACCAACTGGCTGCAGGAGGGGTTTTAACAGAAAATAGGGTAGAACGCTGACTTCTGCACCAGTGTCAACTAAGAACTTATGTTTGGTTATGGGGTCAAATATTTAGAGCAGGCGACTAATGACCAAGCCGGCAACGGCAGCCGCCATCCCGGGCTGGCCATGTGGTTCCTAGCCAAAGGATCAGCAATCGTATTACGGCGCTGACACCCTAATAGCAAGTTATGCGCTGCGTCTCCCGAGTAGTGGTGATAATAACAATAATAGCATGACAGTCGGGTATGAGAGTTACTTCGACGCCTGTTTTGAGAAACGGAGCGTTGCGATGAATTGCGATCATGTCTAAGGTGGGACAGACTGAGCTACAAGTTGGTTACACGCTTGTTGCCAATTTCCATCAGTTTGGTAGCTGTAGAGTTGCCGGGCCTAACATTGGTTACGTGGGACACAGACGTCATATAGAAGCACAGTGAACCTTATCAGCAGCAGCTGCCAGCTTCTCTAACGAGAGATCGTCGGGAGCATAGATAGTATGGCCATCGTATTCGTAGGTAGGCATTTAGTCCACAGTTGGTAGAGTAGATACCATCCAGGTCGGAGGAACCGGCTAGGCAACACATATATCGAAGTAGCTGAGACAAACTTGTTTTCGAACTCTTTTCATCTCGATTCTATCCAGCACCTATTCTCATTACTTCTCTTAACTTTTTGGCTCTGGCGTTCCTCTCATCTTTTGAACCACAGACATACTGTGTTTCAACGACCTTTCACATTCTAACTGCGCGCATTTTTGCGTAGGACCGCAAGTATTTGTAACCGCTGCGTATCTATATCCCTCCGCCCAAGCTCAACTGAATATCCCTAATGTGCTCCCATGTATAACCTTAACAAGGTTGCAGAGTCCTTATGCACAGTACGTCGTATCCCTTGCTTCCTCCTATTTCTACCCTTCCATTTCGCTCTGAATTGCATTTCCGCTTAAGCAGCACCCACCTCCG